ATATAACACTGGATGCAACAAATGTAACTTAGTGTAGAATATTGTTTTAGGTACAAAGATGGCCAGATATCAAGAGATATAAATATGTATAGAGAAAACTTTTTGGTTAAATCTGCTTTCTTTGGTTAAATGGCCTTAAGTGTGGCTTCCTTTAACAGATTTCTCACTAATTCTAGGTTACGAACCAGATTTTTTTCTTTCTCATTGATCCATAGAGTTACAGCTGGGGATTTTAAAAACACTCTTAAAACACTCCATCAGGCTTTAGTTTGGTAACCATGGAGCTCTGAGGTACACAAACATCCTTTTCCTTCTTAGTGTTATATAGTGTAATGGTAAAGACACAGACCTGTTATTAACAGCATGATAATTGTTTCCACAAAGCCCAGGTCTTTCACACATTGGTAAGTTAGTGTGGGTGGGTTGCCATCCAGCTGCACTATCAATATTAAACATTTCACTTTACCATGTGACATATCTGCAGGGACAATATGGGACCAAAAAGTGTCACAAAAAAAGTGACACGTTGCTGCTCTCATGCGTTTTCAATCACAAAAAAAAAAACGAATGGACCAAATACTCAGAGAGTCTTTCAGCTTCCTCTGACTTGAAAATGTAAAAGCTTTGGAGCATTTCTTCTGCCCATCTTTTCATGTTCTCTGTTAAAATATCTCACATCTGTCCTGTTTCTTCGACCAAAAGTAAGTGGTTTACCATTGCATAAAAGTGGTCAACCCAAAAATGCTAATTGCTATATGGCGTTTCAGTATAAATAGACACAGAAAATGCTGTCAAACCTTATTTTAAAAAAGGAGGAAGTGAATACACGTCCTTGCTTTAAGTCCCTCACAAAGTTTTACATTTTGTATATGCTACAAACCATACGGATAGAAGAAAAGTGCAGACTATACATTTTTGTGTCAAGAAAAAGGCAGGCGGGACTAGAATGTTTGATCCAAAAGGCAAACAGAACATGAGCTGAACTTGTCATTTCATGCATCATGGTATTTCTCCACAGACTCTGGCTCTTGTGAGGGTCTGCCATGTTTACCATTACAGCAGTCACTCCGATGGCAACCGTCTTTCCTGTGGTGCAAAATGGCAAGAGGAGACCCCATGAGGATGTTTAATCCAGACCATTACTTTCTGTTTATGTCTTATTAGCCAGCCTTTTCACTTTAAGCACTCTTTTGTTTGCTTTGGTGACGAGCACCATGGTTTCTGGTCACCTTGACAGGAAATGGCAGACAGGGAAGTTTTAGGTGTCTTTCCATGACTCTCTTACCCACAAAGCCATATGCAATAAATTATGTTAAACTTTTCAAGATATTGGCCTGCTGAGCACTGAAAAATTGCACGTAATTGTTTATTTTTTGAAGTTTTTTCTCAGATTAAGGACAAGTGTTGCTTCTTGTTGTCTACATTTGTATAAATACTTGACATTTATCCCCATGCAGGCATGTTGGGGATTTATTATGCAGTTATATGTCATGGTATCCACAAAATATTTTTACAACTGTTATGCAAATATTCAAGTGTCTTTATGCAGCACCAGGGATTGCTACTGAACCAAATCCTACCCATCTTGAAATCAAGGGGATTTTGAGCATAGGTTTGTTCAGTGATTTATATCCTTGAGGTTAGGTCATACAGATGCTGTTTATAAGTTTTGGACTGCTAAGTAGCTTTAGCAATACAAAACATACAGCGTGTTGGCTGACGTCCACGGTGTTATCATCATGATAGAGAATAAAAAGCTCTTGTATCCATGTGCCTCTCCTTCAGATTTATAAAGAGCCTCTCCCCAAAGTCCAGCTTTGTTCTTGGACCACAAACTACTGCTTGGGAAAAGCTGAGGTCCATTTGCGCAAGCCTCGCTGCCTCAGAGTGTGACATTTGGAGTTGTGTTTCTGCAAAGCAGCTGTTTTCCAGCAGTTGAGCTTGGGCCAGATGCTCTCGTTTTTCATTTTAGCTTATTGCGTACATTAATTATATTTTAGATCTATTCTCGCGGCTATTTAGAGTGGCCTGCTGGGTCTCAGTCTTTAAATTGATCAGTGCAGACACCGGAATTTTCTGGAGCAGTGTTTTTCTCCTTTAGCTTGGAATGTCTTGAAAGTTGTGTAGGAGCTCATGTGCGAACATCGATTTTTGAAGCTGGACATCTATTCTTGAACATATTCAAATAAATATCCCAACGTCTCTGCATTCAATTAGAGGGAAACTGATACATCAGTGAAATGCCTATGCAAAGACTAAAATAGTCAAATGGCTACATTTCAAAGTTCTTTTCTTTAAGAATTCACTTGGAAAATGAAAGCATGTACACTGCAAGAAAAGAAAACAAATGAAATAGGTATTGGGGTACTATATATATATATATATATATATATATATGAATTTTCCTTCAGCTTAGTCTTTATTCGCCACAGCAGAATGAACTCCCAGCAAGCCAGTACTGGAAAAAACCCATACACACTCATTCACTCATACACTAGGGCAATTTAGCTTATTCATTTCACTTATAGACTTATAGTGCATGTCTTTAGACTATGGAGGAAACCGGAGTAGCCGGAGGAGACCCACACCAACACGGGGAGAACATGCAAACTCCATACAGAAATGCCAGCTGGTCCAGTCGGGATTCGAACTCGTTTTTTACTATGAATGTTTTGAAATAAAAAAAAAATTGTAATGTCAAATCTGGCATTCTGAGTAATTTTGTCTGCAAAAGCGATTCTTATTCAGCCTTAAATATCTATTAGAAAAACCTGAGACCATTGCTGACCATTGCTCTGAGAATATTTATTTTGAGTTTAATGTCACAAATCATAATGCTGGAATTGATTCATTTATTTTCAGCTTTGTCCCTTTATTTTTTCAGGGGTCACCACAGTGTAATGAACCACCAACTTATCCAGCATATGTTTTTTGCAGGGATGCCCCTACAGCTGCAATCTATCACTGTGAAACACCCATACACTCTCGCATGCACACTCTTACACTACAGCCAATTTAGCTTATTCAATTAATCTATTGATCTACTATGACCAATTCATCTATTGCGTACGAGCGGGCACAGCCATTTGAATCTTTTTGGCTCAAGAATTCTAATTCACTTCCATTCATTTCTAGATGTTAAAAACAGCTTGTTAACGCTGCTTGATGTTGTAAACTGATTTTTATTATTATATTATATTATATTATATTATATTATATTATATTATATTATATTATATTATATTATATTATATTATATTATTCTGCTTTGTCTGATTTTTCATGAACGCACTTGTTTGTAGAGCTAGTAGTTTGACTGTTTTTGCAGTTTATTATTTCTAGTCATTTCTCCCATAGGCAACTGAATCGGACGTTCCACATTGAAGAATAAGGTCAATAGCACATGTCTTTGGACTGAAGGGGAAACCACCCAGAGAAAACCCACACCATTATAGGGAGAACATGCAAACTCCACACAGAAATGCCAACTGACCCAGCAGGGGCTGGACACAGCGACCGTCTTGCTGTGAGGCGACAGTGCTAACCACTGAGCCACCGTGCCACACAAACGCTGGAATTGCCAACTACAATTACTAGTTTGCATTAAGTTTATAGACATTAAAATGTGTTTACAGACAATAAAATATTAAATACAACACAATGCAATGTGTAATGTTAAACACAAGGAAAACGCCTGTGAACATCCAAATAAATATGGATGGATAATGGATTATCACATAAATACAAAATTAAATATTCATATTAACAAATTATATTAACAAACTTGCAAAGTTACAGTTAAAATATCTTTTAATATACTGTTATGACAGTTAAAATATCATTTAAAACAGGGGTTCTCAAAGTGGGGGTTGGGACCCCTCGATGGATCGCGGGACAATGAAGGGGGGGGGGGGGGGGTCGCCTGGTGATTTTAAAAAATCTATTTATAATTCTTAAATCATATAGGAATGACCATATTTTATCCATAACCTACAGAAGAGAAAAAATATAGTCGTTTATAATTACTTTATAGTTACTTTAGTCGCTTATAGTTACTAGTTCTATTGGATTGCGACCCCAGTGGTAATTGCATTATATTAAAGACACAGCAATAGCGTCAGATGCAGCAGATTGATTTTATAACACCAGGTTAAAGTTTCTGGCCCATTTACCGCACTGACATTAAACGAAGAATATCCCTGGGTGTATTGGTGTGTGTATGACATTGCATGCAAGGTTTCTGTATTCATAACCAGGATATTGGGGGTCGCGAGTCACTGGCATCGTCATATTGGGGGTCGCAGGCTGAAAAGTTTGGGAACCCCTGGTTTAAAATACTGTTACAACTGTTAAAATATCCAAATCATAAATATTTCATTTACAAAACAAATTCTTTCATTTATGCCACTGTCTGACATATTCAGAGATATTCTGCGATATGTTATTTAACAGCGCTCAATTCAACTGTTCTTTTAGATTTCTATGATTTAGTCCTCACAATTAAAATTAAAGATGTATTGTTTCTTTATTATAATTGAAAATGTTCTCCAGCCATATTAATTCCTTTTAGCTATTTAATATTTTTGAGAGAAAAATGCACCATAAATATAATTTTTTGAATGTCAAGAGCATGACTGCACTTCTGCCTTGTAGCAGTTGTCAATAACAATACATAGAACAAGAATGGAGGAGCAAAACAATTTCCATTTGTCCAAAACACTGAATAGACTGAATGTCTTATACACAGTTTAACACCTGGCTTTTCTAAGTGCACATTTGATCAAACTAGAAACTTTAAATGAAATCATTTTCTTAAGAATAGCAAACAAAGCACATCCTCATTTTTTTTCAGGTGAGCATTTTTACATTATAGTCTTAAGTTTATTTTATTCCCCCAAGTGGTTCAATCATACTGCAGTGTTTTTCAGTCTAAACCTTTAAGGCATGCATTTTAATCTCTAAACAATTAGAAATGTATTAACCTCAACCTTTTCTTTCAGCTTCTACAACTGGAGGACGCAGAAGTCCAAACACAATAACAGCTCAAACTATGAGGTAATCACGGAGAATCCAAGCGGTCTGCTCTTCAAGTGCAAGAACGACAGGAAAATCTTGAATGTTGACCCAGAGGTGAGCAGCTTTGATAGGAGGGGTAAACAGAGTGCTGACCTCTCTCTCAGTTCTTATTTACCATCCACAAGTAAACCAACACCTGCACTATGTTTAACAGAGTATTTGTGTAATGAATCAGTCAAGCCTGATTAAGGATTAGAAAGGCCATTGTATTTTCTCTGTATTACTATTAGATACAGTTTTTTAATCCATTGATTACAGGGTTATTTCACCCCAAAATGTACATTCCATCATCATTTCCCACCCTTGTGTTGTTCTAAAACACAAAGTTTTTTTCTGTCTTTGCAAATATATATTTTTAAATCAAATTTGTGAGGTTTCTGTCGCCATTGCATTTTTTTTTCACTTAAAACTTGGATGCATAGAAAAATTCATAAAGAAATGAAAAATAAATTGATATACATATAATGCTGTACCTATGCACATTGCTGTCTAAATTTTTAGTTGAATTTTTCTAGTAATCTCAATTTACATCAGTCAAACTGACTAAAATTATGCTAAGACTGTAAAAAAGAAAAAGTTGGCTCAAGTTAAAATGACCCAACTTAAGGATTATTTTGAGTTTATTTAACTTAAACCGATTCAAGTGCAGTAAATGTGAATGTCCTGAGGTTTGTTGCATTAAAATTTTGTTTTTGAAGTTGAGTCACATTATTAACTTATTAAAAAACAATTAAAGTAACATAAAAATATACTCTCATGACTTTTTGTCATTTCGTTATGTATAGTGTAGTTTTTTTAGGGGGTTTTACCTTTATTATAAAGGACAGTGGAGTTGAGATAGGAATACTTTGGGAGCAGAGAGAGGAGGGAAGGAACAGCAAAGAACTTTGAACCAGAAATCAAACTTAGGTTGCCATGCGCATCTCAGAGCTATATGTCAGCACACTTTACCACTAGGCTATTGGCGCCAACGTAATTTAGGTTTTTATTCATATATGCTAAACATTGATCAGCAAGCACAGAAGAACTAAGCTCATTGGTTCTTGCAAAAGATCAAACATGCTGTTGTGACATTTAAAAAGGAACACCACATAAAAGGCTAAATTAAATTAGATCACAAATAGCTCTGTCACATGAAGAGATTACGTCTTTTCTGCCTTTTATGGAACTACTCAATTTTGGGTATATACTGTAGACTTTCAGTGGAGAGATCTTGCAGATATGATTAAAAATACCTTTATTTGTGTACTAAAGATGATTAAACCTATGGTTTGGAATGACACAAGGGTGAATAAATGATGAATTTTCATTTTGGTGTGAACAAAAGCGGAACAAAACCCGCATGTGCACATAAAATCCTAACAGCAACATTCAAGCTGTGAGCAGAAAGAGTCTTCGTGAAATCCTTCTATCATCATATCAAATAGCCTCCGTGTGAAGTGGAGAGATTGTATTGTTGCACCTGGGTATCATTTTTGCTCCAATCTCTCAAAATATCCATCAGAGTGGGTTAGAGCAAACCGCGAAATTCAGTCCTGGAACCTGTGCCACTATTTTTTGCCTGTGTGCCCAGGAGCTATGAGTGCATGCTATTTTGGAAAAGAGGCAACGCTGCAGACCGGCCTCTTTGAACACAAACTCGCCCAGGCTGCCTCGTTGAGGGCGAGATGGCAGAGGCGAGTATTGCCTGTGGTCGAGCACACCCCAACCAGGCCGGCTATTAAAAACGAGGGGAGGCTAAGGAACCCAGACACTGAAACCGCCTGTGCACCCAGAATCCAACCTCAGGCCCCCACCAGGCATGACCTCATTGCCCATGTGGATGCATTCCTTCATCCAAACTGGTGGAATCATGGCATATTAAACCCTGCATTTGATTTGTTTGTTTGTTTGTTTTTTTGTTCACACCCCATTCGACATAGCCAGCGATGTGAACATTTCAAAATTATAAACCCGAATTCTTCTTCTTTGGGTTATGTTCACTTTTGATGGAATCATGTTGGTTGTCCCGCCAGAGTAGCAGTTGGTGGTTTAGTCTGATAACCAGTCCTTATAAATCAACAGCTAATGCTTTTCGTTTGCTCCGTTTCATTTTTGGGGAATGTTCAGCATATGTTTGTATTTATCTTTGCTCTAAACAAAAAATCGGTTAACCCAGACAAGTTTGATGTACGGTAAATACAAAGAATGAATGTAAACCTAAATCTTCTGACATGTTACCCTTTAATAATGGATCCCAGCTGGCTTAAGATCTTATTTATTCTTGGTGGAGGCACCCTATGGAGTCCATATTTTAAAGTCACACCCACAGAGATGTTTAAACAGCAAATCAAACTTATACTGCAAGATATGCATTTTTTCTCTGCTTTAGTAATGTAAACAGACATTTGAGTTGCATCCAAAATTGAAATTCTGTGCACTGCAGTGTTTTGAACCTTAAAGATAAGTGAAAACATTAAATGTGGGATTACAGATTTATTAAGGTGCTCTGAATAATGTTTGTCTCCTATAAGTATAACCTGTGTGTAAGAAAGACTGGAAGTGTGTGTAAGAAAGGTGTGGACGATTCAGTCCACTAAAAAGCTTTTTGGCATCCATTAAATCTTGCTACGGTGCTTGAAAATACATAATTTTCTTCTGTAGAAAATTTGAGTTCACATTTTGAAAGGCTAATCAGTTTTAACACCATTTATTTATTTTCTGTAATCCAACAGAAATTACCTGGCGATAGCTCCACTCGAACTCCTGTCCAATCTGACCTATATGTGCATGTTGTCATTTATGATCACGTCATCAGAAAACCCACCACCAGATCCTGTACGCCACTCTCCAATTAAATGTATTAAAACACACAGAGTCTCTAATTTCGTCTATATAAAAACAGTGTTAATCTTACATTATTGACTTCCTTTTGTGCACAACATCTGGATGCGTAGAGTAGCACATATGTGCGTTTTGATCTATGGTTTTCATTTTCTATACTAATTCAGACTTCACTGTAAAACTATTTTGAGTTGTTTAACAAGATTTAAATACATTTATGAATACAAATTTCATTTTGTGTGTGTTTTTTTTTTCTAAATGCTTTCCCATTTTAATCATCAACGATCACACATTTGAGCCGCTAAATGACAGAGCTCTCCCAGATTGTCTGGTGATGCACTCACTTGGGAACCTGAGCCTTGCATTGTATACTCTTATCTAAAACAACTCCTCTGTTTGTCTGAACAAATCAAAGATAAATCCCTGTAGAAACATGGGGGTTCTTTCATGTCCCCGCATCACTGCTTGTAGCTTCATTTTGACTAAAAGCTGCCAAACACTTCATGAAATAGACAAGGACACACATTGAGATCATAAGATACTGCAGGGAGTTCCGGCATTAGATATACATCTGTCAATAATTTTCTCTTTGAGAATTTACAAAAAAAAGGAGTCAGCAAGATATTGCACTGCTGGTGGTTCCTGGTGGTTGCTGATGCCATCTTAGTATTTGAATGGTTCTGATTTACTCTAGCCAAGTTGGCCAAGTTCACAAGAAGGGCGATTACTGGTAGGAACAGCACATTGCTAACTTGCAAGAAAAAAATAAGGACTTTTTGTCCTTAATCAATAATTATGCAATACAATATTATTTGAAACAATCACTAAATCTGTACAAATTTAATAATTAAGTTTTTCTTATCCTAACTGAAGCTACACTTATTTAAAATATAGTGAAATGATTTTCTATTTTTAAATACTCTAAAATGAAAAAAAAAAAAACTTTCCGTTTTATTTATAAAGTCTTTGAACAGTTTTACTGAGTGTAAACTTCGGTATACATTGCTAACAATATGATGTGCATTATTAATTTTCAGTAACCCGATTTTGCAAAAAAATGGTGTCTTTATTAACAATCAATTAAAGACTAAATTGACACAAAAAAATTAATTTACTTACACTTTCAAATGGTTCCAAACGTTTCTATGTTTTGTTTTTTTGTTTTAAGTTGGAACAGCACAATTCTTGACATTTTTGGGGGACAACCTAATTGTTTTATTTCCATTCCAATTCAATTTATTAAGTTAACTTGATTGATTTGTGATTGATTTGCATGTTCGCATGCTATTGGAAAAATCTGATATTGCTATATTTTATTTTTCTGTGATAAATATTGTGATATGAATACAGTTTCACAAGATACTTTAAATGGCACCATTTGATGTTTTTCTGGGGAGCCCAACCATATTCAGGTACAGAAATTGAATAATCACAATTCAAAATAAACTTTTCTCACTTTGCTTTATCTCGTTTCTATCCAAATATCAAATTATTTCTTAAATCATGTAAAAATAAAGTTTGTTTTTCAACTTTAGAAGAGTTTTTTCCCTTAAAACAAGCTAACTTTTCTGCCAGTGTGGTAAGCAAAATAATCTGGTTTTCACTTTGAAATGTACATATTTGGACTAGGAACAAGAAACTTTTTTTTTTTTTTTTTTTTTTTGCATAAATCAAATACAGTAATTAAATACAATTTTGTAGCTCCTGGTCTACTATAATTCAGACTGAACATTGCATATCTTGCAATGTGACTATTGCAGGTGTGCACATTGCGATATTGATGCTGAAGCGATATATCGTGCAGACCAAATGTCCAACATACCTGATATTAAACTTAATATCACATAATCAGTCTGACAGAAATAAAAATAGATTTACCATGTGTGTGTACCTACATAAAGTTTCTGTTTAATCACCAGGATGGGGGCTTCAAGAAGTGGGTGGTGATTCCCCCACATTCATAACTGTTTGAGTTAACAGGCCACAGCCCTCATTCATGTGGTGGAGTGGCAGTGTGATGAAACTACCCACTCCAGTCCCTCACAACTGCACAGCTCATTCATACACCTACAAATCAACACAGCAGATGTGCTTGTGAAAATCTGGCTCCCACAGTGGACGTAGAGAGAGCTAGTGGCAAAATAAAACATGATAAATATAGGTTATAGGGCGCAGGCCACTTTTTCCCTTCAGTACAGCAATTACACTTTGGACAGATCTGAAAAACCCGTATCTTGAAAATAAGTCCCCTGGCATCAGATGTCTGGAGTGGGAGTCAATCACTTCCTCCTCAATGCTCTTGAAAGAGAGACCGTGACAGAGGATATTGAGGCCGTGCACGCGGGGCTGCGGTGCGGAGGGGTCGCGGTGCAGCATCCGGATCAGAGTCCGCTGTGCAGGATGTGTCTGCTCATCGCCATTGAGCTCCACTAAATGGGACAGAGAGCCTTTAATGCTCCACATAAGCCATGTCATTCAGCGCGTCAGTCCAGACACACAGCTTTGCTGAGAGACGTTTCGCGGATCTCACTGTCGAGCATTACAACACGCATCCACATGACTGGGTACACAGCGCGCAGTGTGCGATGAAGACGTAAATGTTTTGATGCACTAACCTGCGCGATAAATAATGCCATTTGTGCAGTAACTAGGCCTACGTTACGGCTGAGTTTTTTTTTTTTGTCTCAGTCACACATACTTCTGTTTTAGAAGAAGAGCATGCTGGTAGTAATAGAGAGCGAATCAAATCTTTTCAATAAATCACTTGATGAAGTTCACAAAACAAGTGTTTCGGTTTTGAATCGGGCGGAATGAAAACGAGCGATTTAGCAAGTGCTGAAGTCTCCTACCAAAGTTATACACCTATTAAAACTATTGTGAAATAATATTGCAATCCAAAACAACCGTTTTCTGTTTTTAAATAGTTTACAATGGTTCTTGAATTGGACGGAATGAAAATTAATGAGCAATTATTTAACCGAGTCTTTTGAAGTGAATCTTTTGGACAAGTCTGGCTGCTTAACTGATCATTCAACTGTGAGACCATGAAAAACCACATGCCATTCTAGATCTAGGCTTTTTTTCTTCAAGGGCATTAAAATAAGGACTTTTGGCTGACACTGGTCCTTGGTGATTCATAAGCCGACACTTTTAGAGTCTAAAGCACATGCAGGAAGATTTTTTTTCTGTATTGGACTTAATTGAGAAGCTGTAAAATTGTGAACAAACTGCAAACAATGTATGAAATAAAAAAAAACTATGAAAATCCTATACCCATTAATAAATACAAAATTCTGAGAGGTTGTTTACAAACTGGTTAGTTTTCTAGCCTAAATAAATTTGTTTTTTTAAAACGTTAAAAAACAGGTTAAACTAAATAATTGTATAATAAAGTGTCAATGCAAATTGTATTTAATTAACAAATGGATTATATTTTATGTTATTTTGACTTCAACAATTTGAGCAGAGCTTTCACGGAGTACTCGAGAGTGCACGTGACCTACATCAGTCCCTTTATTGAACCGGTTCTTTGAAAAGAACCGTTCAAAAGAACCGATTCGCAGAATTAGTCGGACTTCCCAATAGTGTCCGAATGCGCCCATAAGCCTTATATATTACTAGCGCGACACGCTTTACCTTCAATGAACGCAGACAAGAGGCGCGATTGGCTGAGGACAGCATCGCTCAGATACAAAACCGAGGATCAAGCCTGACCATCAAGACTACAGCAGATCAAACCCACACGGACATCATTTTACACAAGGACTGAATTCTGCTGCATGAACGTCGATCTTTGGAAACTTGCATATGGACTATTATGTTGAGTAGCCTACACCAAAGTGACATCTCGTTTAACTTTCTTTTTTTCATTTTCTCACCCTTTTTGCCTTATTTCGGGGGCCCATGTGATGCTCTCCTTCTCAAGAGACAAGAGTTTGTTTAGGTATTCAGCAGCACTGATACACTACACCTAGATCAGCTTCCATAGTCCCGCACCTCCAGCATGGATCGCTGTCAGCGGCTGTTTGTCCTCCTGTTGGGATGCGGTTATCTGTGCTGTGGATACTGTGCTGTGCTTAAAACGCCTGTCATGGGGTTCTCTAAAGATGTGCAACTTGGACAAAAAGCAGAAGAGCCAGAGAAGCAGCAAGTGAAGAAGAGCGAGCAGGATACGCTGTCAGAGCACATGCAGATGCTCTACGCCAAATACACCAGCGCGGGATTCCCTCTCAAAGACGGAAACACTGTCCGCAGCTTCAAGGGCCATTTGGGTAAGTGTTCAATTGATTATGTTGTAATTGACTAAACAGATCCATGCAATCGTCATGTCACGTTTGAAAAGGTTTTCAATAGTGGCTTGTTCGTTTTGCGCTTCAACTGACGGAATATTCAGTCAAAATAGTCAACACAATCTGTCTGCGTCTTATCTCTGTTTGAATCTATTGTTTCCATTACATTGTTCTCTTATATCTAAACCAAAGAGATTTTTCGGAATGTGCAGATGATAACTAAAGCAGTGAGCCACTAAATAAAACAATAAATTGATTTAGTGAACTATCTCTTTAAGAGTTGGTGCTATTACACCTGTTGGTTTGGTTTTGCACGAGACATCAGCTCTAGTTGAACAGCCTGTCCTGTGGCGTTTCATAAATCATTTCACAAGTTGGTTTTAAGACTTTATTGTTATTGGATGTCACTGAGTGAGCCAGCTGAACTTTTTTTTTTTTCTACGGAGTTGTTGACCAAACAAGCGAGTGTCCGTCTTTAGCATTTGCAGGTGGATTTAGCGATTCTCGTTTAGTTAAATCATGTTTCAGGTATGAGATGTGATGTTTATTGAACATTAATCGCTGGTTTGACAAATATCTTTTGCTCGCTCAGGCTGAGACGCTGATAGTAAAACTGCACTAGTGTTGCCAGATCTCTCCTTCACAAAAACCCAAATTAAGCGACAAAATTAGAAACAATGTAGCGTTGTTTACTAAAGTCTCAGGAAAAAAAAAGTTTAAAAAGCGGTCACTGTATTTGTTGCATTTGAGATGTATTATTAGGTACTTATATATACATTTTATATTCTAATTTAAATATAGTCTAGGAGTAAATAAAAGACTTATAATGGCATTGGGCAGAGTTCAACTTTGCTTTAATGAGTTGTTTGCGCACCGCTAGACAGAAAATCCACTAAATAGCGCTGCCCCGACTTCACACATTTAGCCTATAAGCGA